TATTCTTTTTCAGTTTACTTTATAATTTTCTATAGATAACTTGACTTTTAACCCTTCTATACTTCTTTTTTCTTTTCCTTTATCTTTTTCATTAGTTGTTAATAATTCTTTACTCTGTAATAGAGTTTTCTTTTTTACTTTTTTTTTCTGTTTTTCTAGTTTGTTCTAGTCTTTTTACTTTTTCTTACTTGAATTAAAAATCCTCTCGAATTTACTAAAATCTTTTCTAGAAGTTTCTTCTGTGATATTTTCAAATTGTCTTTTGTTTGGTTAGCTTTTTTCTCTTCACTATCTATAATTCTCTTCTCTAATGTGTCTTGTAGTTAAAGATAACTTCTTGTTAATTTTTTAAAAAGATACTCGAGATTCTTTCTTCTTTTTCTTCTTTGAAGTTCCTCTTGTTTTGCTTTTTTTTTCTAAAACTTGTTATCTACTTTTGTATTAATATAATTTCTCTAAATATTCTTCTAAATAATTATTAGATAAAGTTTCTTTCTTGTTTATAGGATTTTTTACTTTATTATTTCCTTTTTTCACTTCTTCTTTAAGAATCATCACTTCAATATTTCTTTTTTTTCTTGGTTTGGTTCTACAATATGTGTATATAATTCTTCGATTTGTTAAAAAAATTTTCTATTCTTTTTTTTTTGTTACGATCTCTGCTTTAAACTTTTTTATCTACAAGTTTGGATTTATATTTTATCTTGTTTTAATTTCTCTATATAATCTTCTATTTGTATATTAAATATCTCTGTATTTGTCAAGATTTCTAAATTTTTCTTATCTTTTTTTCATCATTTTGTATTAGAAAGAATAAATTTTCTTGTTCAAGTTGTTGGATTAAACTCTTTTCTATATTTTTTCTTTGAAGTGCTTGTTGCTTTTTCTTTTTTTTTCTAAAGTTAACTATCTAGTTATTATAAAGCTTCAGTTCTTTAAATAAACTTCTATTAATTTATCCAATATCTTTGTAGTTTTGTTTTGTTTTCTAGAATCTTTTTTTTCTTCAGTATTTGACTTTCTAGATACCGTTTTTCTGTTTATATCTGTTATATAATCTGTAATTAGATTGTTTTGTTTATTTCTAAACATATATTCTATTTGTATAATAATAACAGATCTGCAGTATAGGGTCAAGTGCAATTTCCTAAAAATTGCTTGCAAAGAGCAAAATTTCGTTGGTTTTTTGTCATTTTTCTTCTTTTTTATCCAAAGCTTTAACATTTTTACTTCTATCTCCTAAGAAACTAGGTGTTATTTTGTATATTTTTTCTTTTTACTTAGTACTATAAACTGTGTTTTCTTTAGTAAAATATATGTTTTGTTGATTTTTTGTTTTGTTAAATTTGTATTTAGAGGATTAGCAGAAAGAGTTGATGAATACATAGCTTTTTTTAATGCCAATTTTTATTATTTTAATTAGATATTATATAAATATCTATTATATTTATATACCACTTGTTCTTGCATTAGTGCTATTAATAGTATTATTATAATAGTCAAACCATCAAAAAGAACTGCAGATAATAAAAAATATAGAGATTTTTTACCACCAGTTTTAATTAAAACTAAAGTATCTTTTTGTTGATCAATATAGTTATAAACAGTCTCTAATTGATTATCTCTTAACTGTTTATATTTAAATATTTTTTCTGCTGCTAATTGAATAAATTCGATTATTGTTAATAATAAAACTTGAGGTTTGTCTAATAAATTAAATGTTTTATCTAGTAGTCATGAATTCTAGCCAACTTGTATATAAAAACTACAAAAAGAACAAAGACTATCACATATAAATTTTGAAAAAGTTTAACCATCTAAACATTGAGTAAGTGATTTAAAAACTAATATTTGTGATATGAATAATAGATAAAACCTATTTGATCTGATACATTCTTGAATCTTTATTTTATAAAGAATTAGTTTCTATAATACAGTACACTCTCTCAAATCTGATAAATATGATGAATAGCTTTTATATCAGTTTTGAGAAGTTATCAGATTTAAGATACTAATAGCTTGCTAGTCACGTGATTATAAATAAATA